ATGTTTGTCTGAAGGTTTGAGACTGTAATAAAGCTATGTGATCGGCGATTATAACGAGCACGCAGTTTTTATCGGCTATATGTAGCTCTTGAACACCGCAACGTTTATGTAACGGCAATAATTATACGTTCGCATAACTCGTAAGCAAAATAAGCGTCCCACTTTTGCATGCATGGCCACCAAAAACTAACTCGCCGTGACAGCGTATCCTGCATGTTGAGCATGAGTCGAAAATTGACACGCTTTATTTATATAAAAGTAAAGTTTTGCAGTTTTCGTTCGTATATATAAGTTTGATTTATTCAAGTGTTAAAAATAATAGTTATTAAACTGTTGCTCGAAATAAGAGACTGCTATGTGAACTGAACTCAAAATAATTTGTTTTAGTATATAGTCAGTAAAGCTTCCTTGCGAGGTGCGTGTCTAGAAAATAGAAATGGCTTTCATATTAAGGGCGAGGTTAAGGAATGCAGTAATACCAAAAAATGCATTAACATGTAAGTAAACATAGCAAAGCTTGTCAATCAACTGAACGAATTTTGAAGTGAATTTCTGCAAATTATCCGACAAAACCTGCCGCGTGTTTGTGTTCGCAAGCCACAAGAAGCCGCCAAGTGTTCCGCCACGCCGGAGCTATTTGAAAACAGTGTAAAAAGTCACAATCGCCCATCGCTAATTCACTCTACGCTGGAGCGAAATCGTTTGAAAACTTTCACGTCACTTTTGCCATAACAATTTGAGCACGGTTTCTAAACCTATTAAAAACGGAGCGAGGTGAAAACGGCGGAGCGCTTGATATAGCTTTGTGTGAACACAAACGTGTAAACTCGAATGCTTTTCAGTTAAATTTCTTGGGTCTATTTGAAATATTTTGGGTTTACACGAGTGCTAATTCAATTTGTAAACAAACTGTAATGGCGGTAGTATGAACACACGTAAATTCTGCCCGCATTAGTTCGCTCGTGCATAGTGTGAACGCAGTCTAATTTTCGGTGACGTTTTCAAACGGCGAGGTATAGCCTTTAGAAAAATTTAGAAATAGTGGATGTCCGAAGGGGAGGGGGGTAATTTTGGGCTTTGATGTCCGGAGAGGGAGGGAGGATGAACCATTCAAGGATGTCCGAAGGGGGGGAGGGGGTTATTTTCAATTTCCTCCGTAGGGGGGGTGGGGGTATGGATCTTTTCTGGAATGACCCAATATAAAACAACCTACAAATTATGTTGGAAGTGAAAATGGAAATTAACAAAATTTTACGCTTTAATACCATACCCGAGTAATCACAGTGAATAACATTGTCATGTACACCTTCAAAACATGCCATCAAAGAAGGGAATAACTCACCATCTGAATACATCACATGGCTAGCCTGAGGGAAACTGACTACTGCTGCTATTAGACCAGCACATTGTCCCAAGATTGAGGATTTAATTTATGAAGGAACAAACAAACAATCATGCTAATGTTCACAGACCTTACTTATCTGAGTTATCTAGTAAGGTCTGTGACCATGCAGTGTTGTAATGCTCATTGGGTATGATTAGTTAAAAAACTAAGGACACACACACACACACCAGCTATGGCCTATTGCCCAGAAAATTGGAAAACGCAAATGGGAAAATGCAAAATTAATAAATGCTAAATAATAAAGCCTCCATCAACAATGGTAGCTAGCTGAATTTTTTATTCCATCTCAAATAGAACAAAAATTATTCTAAATTATTCTTATTAGTTGTTACATGTGTTGGAGACTGTTATTGTTTCTGTTATAGACACAGAAGTTTCCAGAACATTCTATAATATTCAATATAAATATAATATCTCATTCAAACAAATATTGACAACACTGAACAGGAACCTCACACCAAAGGGCCCCCTCTTCCTTTGTTACACCACTGCCTGTGACACAGGCTAGCCTACACCTAAGCCCACCATTACAGTACATGTATGAATCCTTAGTCTAGGACAAGCCTTGAATAAGAAATAAATGAGCACCATACTTGCAGGTATTGGTTTTGAACACTGATGACGTGAGGCAAGTCATGATTGATCATTTCCCCTCATCCTATCAACGATATGTAACAACTTTACATAAAAAAGAAAGGCAACAAGCGATTACTAAAGCGAACAAGAATAGAAAGATGATGTCCATAAGACAAACAAATGCTCTGAAGAAGGCGATGAAGGATTCCTCAGAGTACAACTCTATCCTGCTCCATCAACGTAAAGAAGAACGAGCCTCGTACTATGATATGCAAACCCAGCTCATTCATATTCCAGCTAGAAGAAACACAAAAATGCCCGCACACATGACAGTCCCAAGTAAATATCCTGTTGCGTTACTCCCAGGTCAATATCAGGATTATTATTATCCTTACACTTCAAATGAGCTGAACCAGTTTCCTCTCAATTCAGTTGTCTCCTTCCCACAACCTCCTCAGCCAGAGGTAAGCAAATATGCAAACTCTTGAAATATTTACCTCAGCCAGAGGTAAGCAAATATGCAAACTCTTGAAATATTTACCTCAGCCAGAGGTAAGCAAATATGCAAACTCTTGAAATATTTACCTCAGCCAGAGGTAAGCAAATATGGAAACTCTTGAAATATTTACAGCTGAACCTCTGGGGCTGGTTGTTCAAAGCTGGATTAGCGCTAACCCTGGGTTTAAATTTAACCCGCTGTTTTAGTTTATGTATTTCTGCACGTCTGTTTATTTCAAAACTTATGAGAAGTTAATATATACATTTTTTATATAATACCTTAGTTATTGAATTCTGATCATTTAATTGGCTGTTTATGGTCACGTGATATTGAATAGAAAATTCCATTTACCAAGAGTGCAATGGAATACGTTCCATTGAGTGCAATGGAATACGTTCCATTGCACTCTTTGCGAGTGTAATTGTACTATACATTTTATTCCATTGCACTCTTTATGTTTTCGATAAATCACATCCGTCAAAATGCTTCTCGTACGGTGATCGCAGTTTATTTTAACCCGATATTCGAAACTCAGTAAATGGGATTTTATGCAAATACGACTCGTCAAAGTGGCGGAAGCTTATAAGTAAATTTTAATATTAGTCTATTTTGGTATTATATAAAATAAATAATGAATGTTTTTATTCGTGCAATGGTAAGAATATTTTCATTCGGTGAAAGATGGAATGTTCCATTCAACTCGGCTCTCGCCTCATTGAATGGAACATTCCATCTTTCACCTTATGAAAATATTCTTACCATTGCACGAATGAAACATTCATTATTTGTATACTATCAGACCCAACCAGGAGCCAGAAGTTTGTGAAAAATGCAACTATATTGAATGGAACATTCCATCTTTCACCTTGTGAAAATATTCTTACCATTGCACGAATAAAACATTCATTATTTGTATACTATCAGACCCAACCAGGAGCCAGAAGTTTGTGAAAAATGCAACTATATTGAATGGAACATTCCATCTTTCACCTTATGAAAATATTCTTACCATTGCACGAATAAAACATTCATTATTTGTATACTATCAGACCCAACCAGGAGCCAGAAGTTTGTGAAAAATGCAACTATATTGAATGGAACATTCCATCTTTCACCTTGTGAAAATATTCTTACCATTGCACGAATAAAACATTCATTATTTGTATACTATCAGACCCAACCAGGAGCCAGAAGTTTGTGAAAAATGCAACTATATTGAATGGAACATTCCATCTTTCACCTTATGAAAATATTGTTACCATTGCACGAATGAAACATTCATTATTTGTATACTATCAGACCCAACCAGGAGCCAGAAGTTTGTGAAAAATGCAACTATATGTCCTCTGGCTGGAACCTGCTGCCCTGCACTCTAACCATAGACAATCCAGAAGACATGGTCTATGCTCTAACCAATGCAGCTACATAGTGCAGTTGTCGAACATAAAATCCATATCTTCTCGCAACCGTTTAATGTTCTGCTTATTATATGGACTTACTCAGAGTGAGAAAAATACACACAAAGACGACATGTTTTAAAATAAGCACGCGAAAGACCAGTATAAAAGCGATATTTTTAGTGCAAACATAAAACTAGAATAAATTTTACTTATCTCAAGATGTCTTTTAAATGTTTTCGTTTTATTTCCAACGTTAATTTCGTTTTAAATACGAACCAAAGGCCATTTGTATTTTCAAAACAACAACAATGAAAATGGCGGGAATTTTCGAACTTCGTATGTCACTCGCAGGGGTGAAATACGGAAAATACGCGCACCTGGTCCCGGATGTAGTGACGTATGAGTTCTACGAGTGTTTTAGTTTCCAGTAAAACACCATTGTCCATATAATAATACTATTTATTATATAGTAGAGAGTGAGATACTGAAAAATACACAGTGAGATATTTTCCATATCTTCAGTAGTGAAGATATCGATCACGTGACTTTTTCCAATTTGCTTTTGAGCGCGGTGAAATTTCACAATTTTTTGCTTGGGACTATATAATAAACAGAACATTACACGGTGGCTTGAAGATATGACTTTTATCTTCTCGTGTTAAAAACAATATTTTACTCACTCGCTGCGCTCGTTCGTAAAATATTGTTTTCACCACTCGAAGATAAAAGTCATATCTTCGCGCCGCCGTGTATTATCCTCTATAAATTGAAGTTGAATAAGACTACTAAATGAAGTTGTTGCTTTAAAGGTAGTCAGAGTTCCAGAAGCATTTCAGATGTTAGAAGTTGTAGATGAGAGTCCTGCAGTAGAGCTCAGCTCACCGATAGTCACTATGGGGAAACGTGAAGATGTTTACGACGAACCTCCTCGCAAGAAAACGTATAGGAACTTACCAAGTGGGAAGAAAGATCCAATGTGTGGTATTTGCTTGTCTGGGCCAGAGAAAAACAAAAAAGGTAAACCACAAGATATACTATTGAGTATTTTTGACGCTCTCTGCTTTAAAATATTTATTTCACAAGCTTTCGACAGCCAGACTGCAGTCTTCAACCGACGACCAGGAGTGTAATCGATTGGCATTGCCATAACACGTAACATTATGGGAAGGAACGACCATGACAACGGACGCCATTTATAGCGTCAAATTGTATTTCAAAGCGAGCAACGAAACAGCTAGGGTCCGCAGTATGTGAGCAAACAACCGCAACTACATCCAAAAAATATTTGAGTCGGCAGAAAAATAGAGAGTGGGTCGCAAAAAGCCGAAAACAGGATTTTTGTCAGGCCTAACCAAGCACATAAAATTATAACTTCGTGAGGTTCTGAGAGTATAATCCGTTGTGAATTCAAAGACGTTAGTCCCATATTGGTAACGGGTATAATAATATAGATAAAGATATTACTCGACTGTGATTGGTTGATTTCAGTGCAGTTAATCCCAAACAGCAGTGCAATTTTCTGTAATCACAGTGCAAAAATCTGTAACAAACTGATCTGATTGGTGGAAAAACATTGTGATGATTAAATCAACCAATCAGTTTAAAGCAATTTAGTTTGAAGAAGTAACGGTCACAGATTGCTTCAAAACAAAACAAACATGGCGCCGCGCTACACAAAGTAAAAGTTGCTTTCGCGTGGAAAATATGGCTTTTATCTTTAATTTTTAAATGGAAAAGCATTTACCTTAAAGTGCTTATGAAACGAAATTTTCACCTCGTTTTTTATTGCTATGCTAAAAAGTACTGCTAGAGCGATGAAGAATGACGTTTACAGTTTCTTCATATCTCATTCTCAAGTTATCGCACTTTCTAAATTTTAAGTCGTGACGTCACTAGTTTGACTTGAGATAATAGCAATAACAAGAAAGTCTGATATCTTGATGAGTATTTAATAAAATTCAACGAAACTCTGTACACTTAGTGCGTGCACCATATGAATATTTTTGGCTGGTCATGTGGTTGTCATGGCAACACACTAGTCACCAGTCTCTTCTCTTCCTTTTCACAAATTTCCTCCTGTAGACCTCTTGCAGAGGATGTTTGCGTGTTATAACGATTTAAACTGATCACAATACCTACACGTATTATAGTAATAAGCGACAATTGCAGAAATTACTATTTATTTCGTTGAAAATGGATCATATAGAAATTGGAAGAGAGGAGACTGGGGACGAGTGTGTTGCCATAACAACCATATAGACAAGCCATATTGTTCACTTCGTTGCACCCACTAATTGTGCAAAGTTTCATTGAATTTTATTAAATGATCATCAAGATATCAGATTTTCTTGTTATTGCCACTATTTTGAAAAAAAAGTGACGTCACAACTCAAAATATAGAAAGTGCGATAACTTGGGAATGAGAGGAGATACAAACAAACTGTAAACGTCATTCTTCATCATTTAAGCAGTACCTTTTAATAAGACAATAAAAAATGAGGCAAAAATTTCGTTTCATAAGCACTTTAAAATTAAACAAGACTAACAAAAACTACATAGTTGAGTGGAATTTTCAAGCTGTTAGCGTTGTATAATGTGATATAACAAAGCCAAGAAAACTTTGCCAGTGGAATGTTCGCTATAAACGCGTAAGTTAAAACTACAATTGTCTCGAACATTTTTATGTAAATTATTAATAAGTAATAGCATGGTTTCTCGTGAAATTTGGATAAACATGCACTCCTGAGTTTTTCAAAGACCTCAAATAGCACTCGTCCTTCGGACTCGTGCTGTTTTGAGGTCTTTGAAAAACTCACTCGTGCATGTTATATCCAAATTGCATTCGAAACCATGCTATTACCTACACTAATCACGCTATGTATATGGCGTTCCAGTGAGAATGAATAAATGAAATATTTCATTGCTGCGCGAACCTGTACAGGCGTTTGGGTGTAATAAGTATTCAGCAGGCAGACATTTGATCGTGTACATTTTCCGAAGTCGTCTGGTCGTCAATGGTCGGTCAGGCAATGTGGTCGACAGAAATTGTCGCCGAATTTTCAAGTTTTGGAAAATGTCTTTAAAAATATAATTTTAGCAGTGAATTTCAGTTCTTGTCTTTTTGATGAGGGGATAAGGCAAATAAGTGTGACCAACACGTATGGTGTCAGCGGCCAATGGCCTGAATATACTGGATCGATAACTCATTAGAGATTTTGAAGCATGAGTTGTCATGTCAAACATTGCATCATCCGACTGGTGGTCTTGTATGAGTCATACAAGATTGTCCTGTTCGCCAAATGGCTTGTCGGTGAAATGTCTAATCAACGTCCGGCCAAATAATGATCTGTCGGCAAACGTTTTTCAGCCAAACATCTGTCGATCAAGTGTCGACTTCTGGCCACAATTTAATGTTATGCATAAATAGTTAAGCAACTAACAAATCAGTGGCACAGAATAGAGACTATACAGAAGCCCGACGTCTTGGTTTTTCCTATGATTTTGGCGTAACCGTAATTCGTCATGAAAATGCTAGACTTGCTCGAAGTCTCTCTTTCATTGTCATATCGAGCCACTATAGTGTGCATTACATGACGTAGCACGAACAGGCGGAGCGAGAAAGAGAGACTTGTCAACTTCGGAAAATGTCGGTTCAAAACTGAACCGAAAATGCAAGACTTGCTTTAATTGTTTTCTGTCAATGTTTATATGTATTGATCTAGCACAGTGTAAATAACATGAGTCCCATTATAGTAAATAATACAGAAAGAAATTGAAGGAAAACAATTAAAGCAAGTCTTGCATTTTCGGTTCAGTTTTGAACCGAGATTTTCCGAAGTTGACAAGTCTCTCTTTCTCGCTCCGCCTCTCCGTGCTACGTCATGTAATGCACACTATAGTGGCTCGATATGACAATGAAAGAGAGACTTGGAGCAAGTCTATGAAAATGCTGGCGCCTTGGTCCTAGCCAGTGCGCTTATGAGAGGCATTCCCCCCCCCTGATAATATACAAAACGGCGGACGTCCAGGGGGTGAATGCCTCTCATAAACGCACTGGCTAGGACCATGGCGTCAGCATTTTCATGACGAATCACGGCGTGGCAGCGGTTACGCTTTTTTGGCTGAGTCCACCTTCTGTGTGTCTTTATTCTGTATCAGTGACCCTCTAACCACTGACCCTCTACTAAAAGCAAATTCTTATTTTTATTTTGGTGTAGGTATGCCAGAGCATCTAATCCATTGTTCAGAATGTGAAAACAGTGGTCATCCGACATGTCTTGATATGAGTCCTCAGTTAGTGCGAATAATCAAGACATATTCCTGGCAATGTATGGAATGTAAGAGATGTACCTTGTGTAACGACCCACATGATGAGGATAAAATGCTGTTCTGTGA